CCAAACTGGCTCATCAGAATACATCATGCCAGAACAACTCAGTCTCCTTTTTCACTGAAGTAACTAGTTTGGTGGTCTCTCAGATGAGGATGAGGAGGAGATTGGATTTATACCCCGCCCTTCACTACCCGAAGGAGTCTCTGAGCGGATTACTTTCCCTTCCCCTCCCCACAGCAGACATCTTGTGAGGTAGGCAGGGCTGAGAGAGCTCTCTCGAGAACTGCCCTTGAGAGAATAGCTCTGAAAGAACTTATGACTGACCCAAGGTCACACCAGCAGCTGCATGTGGAGGAGTGGGGAATCAAACCCAGTTCTCCCATATTAGAGTCCACACTTTTAACAACTACACCAAACTGGCTCTCACTGCAGGCTGTCCGAATCTCATCAGATCTCAGAAGCTAAGCATGGTCAGCCCTGAAGCTAAGACCATGAAGGAAGTCCAGGGGGCTTTGCAGAGGCAGACAGTGGTGGCAAACCACCTCTGATTGTCTCTTGTCTTGAAAACCCTACGGGGTTGATGGCACTTCCCACCACCACCACCAATTAGTTTGGTAGGCCATAGGTATCTCAATTTCAGCAAAGCATTTCACAATGATATCCTTGGGGACAAGTTGGTTAAATGTGGGGTGGATGGTATTACTAGTAGGTGGACTCACAGTTAGTTGAACAGCCGTACCCAACTAGTTCTCATTAATGCCTTCATATCATCTGGGAGGGAGCTCTTCCCCAGAGCGCCGCTGGATTCTGCTGGAGGCCCTGTGCTGTTCAACATTTTTATAAATGACTTGGATGAGTGCTTGGGGAGATGCCTATCAACTTTGCTGATGATTCGAAGCTGGGAAGGAGAGCTGACATAGTAAAGAAGCAAAGTCACAATTTAAAATAACATTGACAGGCTGGAAGACTTGGTCAAGTCGAGACCACGAAGCGAATTCAGCAGGTCTGAATGTAAAATGTTACATTTAGGCACAACAGAAGCACAGGTTTTAGATGGCAAAGACCTGGGCTTAGTTGATCACAAGTTAAAGACGAGCCGGCAGTGTGATGTGGCTGCTAAAATAAGTCAGTGTGCCTAGAGAGAACCCTGCAGCTTTTGAGGCCCGAAGCCATAATAAAAGTTGAAAGTTGCATATGGAAACGAGTTGTGAAAGCTTATCAAATACCAGACAGTTGTCTAGCCCGAGTAGGCTTGCCAAGCCCCCGCTGGGGGAGGGTAAATTCCTGCCCGGGAGGCCCGTTACCTGCCGCCGCCGGATCGGGCCCCGGGGGGAACTCCACCCCCTGCCGGAGGGCGTCCCCAGCGTAATGCTGTCACACGGAGGTGACATCATCACACTGGCCACATTGTGGGGGGGACACACTCTGTGAATCACGGTGCCCCGCCCCGGTGACGTCATCGTGGCGCTTGCGCGAGGAGACTCCCGACGGAGCCAGAAATCCCCCCACTTTGAAGGTAAGTCGACTTGGCAACCGTGATGATTCGAAGCTGGGAAGGAGAGCTGACATAGTAAAGAAACAAAGTCACAATTTAAAATAACATTGACAGGCTGGAAGACTTGGTCAAGTCGAGACCACGAAACGAATTCAGCAGGTCTGAATGTAAAATGTTACATTTAGGCACAACAGAAGCACAGGTTTTAGATGGCAAAGACCTGGGCTTAGTTGATCACAAGTTAAAGACGAGCCGGCAGTGTGATGTGGCTGCTAAAATAAGTCAGTGTGCCTAGAGAGAACCCTGCAGCTTTTGAGGCCCGAAGCCATAATAAAAGTTGAAAGTTGCATATGGAAACGAGTTGTGAAAGCTTATCAAATACCAGACAGTTGTCTAGCCCGAGTAGGCTTACCAAGCCCCCGCTGGGGGAGGGTAAATTCCTGCCCGGGAGGCCCGTTACCTGCCGCCGCCGGATCGGGCCCCGGGGGGAACTCCACCCCCTGCCGGAGGGCGTCCCCAGCGTAATGCTGTCACACGGAGGTGACATCATCACACTGGCCACATTGTGGGGGGGGGACACTCTGTGAATCACGGTGCCCCGCCCCCAACGTGGGCGATGCGATGACATCACTTCCGGTGACGTCATCGTGGCGCTTGCGCGAGGAGACTCCCGACGGAGCCAGAAATCCCCTCGCTTTGAAGGTAAGTCGACTTGGCAACCGTAAGCCCGAGCGCCCCCCTTTGAGCTTGAGGTGCGGGCCAAACAGCCCTTCTGGATCTCCTTCTGATTGGCCCAGAGTCTGGTATGGTAGTAAAGAGTGCTGGACTAAGATCTGGAGACCCGTGTTCGAATCCTTGCCGTGCCATAGGAGCTCGCTGGCCTTTGGACCCTTCTCAGCCTAGCCTACTTTACAGGGTGGTTGTTGTGAAGATTAAAAAATGGAGTAGGGGAATATGTCGTCGGCTGCTTTGAGTCAGCCACCAGTCATCACAACCTTTATTGGCATATATCGGAGTACATGTAGAAGCAATAAACAGGGAGGTAACAAGGAAAAAATAATCATATACATCTAGACATTACACAATTGATACTTGATTTGGGAATAGGGCTACCTTTTCGGTTATTTGGGGTGACTAATCATTCAGAAGATGGCGCACCTTTAAAGTAGAACGTATATCATCATATTAGGAACAAGCTTTGAGTCCCCATTGGGGAGAAAAGTAGAGTATACATGTCTAAAGTAAAAGCTAGGACGGTTTTGGGTTGCATGTTCATTTACTTTACTTAAATATTTATCCACCCTGAAGGGATCCAAAGTAGTTGAAAACAATAAGAAAAATTAAACAATTTAAATTTAATACAATTCAGTACAATCAAACAAAACACAGTAACCACTATATGTTGGACTATGTTTTGAACCAGTCCTGTATTCAGTGGGCCAGCTTTTACTAGGCCCCAGGGCATGAGTGTAGTGGTTAGGAGCACAGACTCTAACCTGGAAGAACCGGGTTTGATTCCCCACTGCTACACATGCAGCTGCTGGTGTTACCTTGGGTCAGTTACAAGTTCTTTCAGAGCTGTTCTCTCACAATCAGTTCTCGAAAGAGCTCTCTCAGACCCCCCCCCCATCTCACAGGGTGTCCGTTGTGGGATGGGGAAGGAGATTGTAAGCCTCTCTGAGACCCTTCGGGTAGTGAAGGGTGGGGTATATATCCAAATTCCCCCCATCCTCCTCCTCCTCCTCCTCCTTCCTCTCCTCTGTCTCCCGTCCAAGGGCCAAGAGCTTCTTGGCCTTTGGCTCATGCCCAGCTGAGATGGTACAGCTATCACTAACGTTCTTCCCAAACGTCTCCTCCTGCTCCCTTAACAAAAGCATCCAGGTTATAGAATGTAATAGTTTCACTCTGTTCTGCACTGCTCAGGCCTAACCTGGAGTCCTGTGTCCAGTTCTGAGCACCATGTTGTAAGAAGGACGACAGCTAGCTATAATGCAGCCAGAGGGGGCGGCTAGGATGGTGTGGAGCCGGGAAGCCAAGTTCTGTGAGGGATTGTTGAGAGAGCTGGAGAAGTAAGGATAGAGATGACCACTGTCTTCAAACATCTGGAAGCTGTCACAGACAAGACGGAACAAAGTCTGAGTCCAGTGGCACCTTTAAGACTAACAAAGTTTAATTTTGGGTATAAGCTTTGTTGGTCTTAAAGGTGCCACTGGACTCAAACTTTGCTCCGTTGCTTCAGGCCACCATGGCTGCCCAAGCTGAACCTACAGACAAGGTGAAGCAGACTTATTCTCTCTTGATCCAAAGGGCAGGACGACACGGAAATCAGAAGGAAGTAGATTTTGCACAAATGTTAGGAGAAACTTGACAATGGTAAGAGTGGTTTGATGGTGGAACTGTGACTGCCTTTTGGGGTGGTGGACTCTTCTTCACCGAAGCTCTTTAAGCAGAGGCTGGGTGGTCACCCGTTGGGGATCTATAGATGCATATTCCTGCATTGAGCAGGGATTAGAATAGATGGCTTCCAAGATCCCGTTCAGCTCTAATATTCCATGATTTACTTGAGAACCAGGATAGAGTTGGGCTGCTGGTCTGTTGTCCAGTCAAATCTTGTCAGTAAACAATAAAATATTCAGTGAAGTCAAGAGTGCCTTGGAGTAGCTATGGCTTATCCTTTTACACTGAATCTTTGCTTATGCCTTGTAGAAGTCTGTATATTGTATTATAATTTATATGGTTTTGTTTTATTACCATTACCCAGTATGGGAACTGGAAAAGAAATGAGCAGTATGATTTCTTGAATAATCGGGCCCGTGTTTTAAATGTGTTTATAATCATTAGCTATAAACAATATGGGCACGATCCAGCCAAAGTTCAGCATTTTGAAATCTCCAAGGTTCCAACGGAGAATGTAAGTGCATGCTTCAATAGCTCCCATTAAAATCGATTCGAAATCAAAATGCTTAATTTTGACTGGACCATGGCCTAATTCAAACACAGTGGTTTAGATTTAATCTAATTGTTGTATGACCTTTCACTAACTTGTAATTTTGTGATGACTTCCACTACATGAATGGTTTATTTAAACCAAATAGGTTTTGACCAGTCAGGTGGCCAGTGCTATAGCACAGAGGCAAAGAAGTGCAAAGCTCCCATTCTAAATATCTGCCAACGCCCGCCCCCCCATTCCATGAAACCACTGTTAGCTTTGCTGGAAGGGAAAGACAGCTGAATCTTGCCGCTAATAGCAGCTCCAGGGAAAGGGGTGCAGTCTAGGCGGGGAAATGCATCCTTTCCAGAGCAGCAGTCTGATTTGCAGTTGCTTTTAATTGAAATGCAAACTGTTTTGTTTTTAAATTACACTTCAGCCACGGCTTTCGCTGCGAGGCTTTAGGCAAGAGAGCCTCCCTGTCTCTTAGTGTGCTGTCTTGTGCAGTATGGGGACGATGAATCTGGTCTTCCTTGCAGGGCTGATGAGGAAGAGTCTGTGTGTGTTTGGGCTATATAAATGCTAAGTTAGCCAGCCATTGCAAATGAGTTACAGAGAGAATTGCTCTTTGCCTTACAGCACTGTCTGCGCATTTTCGAGTCTGTGAGCCATATACAGACTACAAGGGCCGTGAGCATTTCGGATTCCACTGCCCACGCCTTTCTGACAATAAATCGTACACCTTTTGCTGTCACCATAACAACACCGTGTTTAAATACTGCTGTAATGAGACGGAGTTTCAGACTGTTATGCAGATGAACTTAACGGGGAATGCAGATGGATATATGCATAAGTAAGTAAATTGGCTGGAATACTTTCTTTTCAGAGTTTGTTCTGGGCATTATCAGAACTGTATTGGAAGCAGTGCCGAAACCATGTTTAAATTGTGTGTCAATATTTGTAGATAAATAAGGGGAGATGCCAATCCCTTCTCCTCCTTTCTTGACGTTTTCTAAGCAGTACAGATGTTGTGTGGCTGATTGTTCGTGCTGTGTATATTAATGACTTGAAATCACTCGAGTGAGGTACATTTGATTATATATGTGCCATTTGATTATGTGCCCTGGAGTTCAGTAGTGAGATGCATGTGATTATACTTGATTTATATATATGCACACACACACACACACACACACACACACACACACCATTTGATTATATGCTCTGCAATATCCTTAAATTCCTCTTTATATTTTAAACTCTGTGTCCTTATTTATTACTACCTCTCCACCTTTGGATCTTGGAAGATACCGTTCAAGAGCATTTTTGAAGAGTTATCAAGGTGTACATTTTACATTTTTAAAGCAGGCATTTTTAGGGTTGGCTCTCACTAGGGCTTAGCCCCAAAATTTATTTTTAGTGTTAGGACTCAACTCCAGAAAGAGGATGTCTGTCCCTTACTACCAGGGGTCATTTCGTAGAAAAAGAGGTGCAGGAGCTCATTAGCATAGCTCATTAGCATAACTTATTTGCATGTGCCACGCACCCTGACATCACCGGAAGTGTGTCAGAAGGCAACACCGATCGCTCAGGCTCCACTGGACTGTTTTGGATTGCTAGCTATTGGAGGGGGGGGGAATGTGCAGAGGAGGGAGAGCTTGTACCTGAATAAAACTTGGTCTTAAAGGTGCCACTGGACTGTTGTGGATTGCTAGCTCACAGAGGAGGGAGAGCTTGTACCTGAAGGTGGGCCGGGGGGGGGGCTCTGCAACTTACCTGGCTGCTTCTTGCTCCTTGTGGCCCGTTTGAGGGCTGCTGGGAGCAGGGGGTGGGGCTTGTTGCATGTGCCCGCCCCCTGGGCTCCTTACTGCCGGAGCTCCGCTCCTGTGCGCTCCCGCAGGGAATGACCCCTGTTTACTACTAAATTAACCAGAAATGGCATAGTCTCACATTTGGGATTAGGTGTAAGTAGAGTTAACACTGGGGGTGGGGGCAGTACGCAGGGCCTATCAGTTGGTGCTCTTGAAAGAATAGGTTTATCATGTTACATCTCACTCAGCCCTGTCCCCTCCTATCCTGTGTTTATGTGATATGATTCCGGAAGTGAGGTGAGGCAGGAGACAGAGGGAGCCCCTCATAATGAGGGGTTTGTTTTCGCAATATGATTTTGTTTTATGATGAGAAGTTCCAAGTTGAAATTACAGGCCAGCCCTTGCAATTGGGGAAAAGGGATAAGGGATAGACTTCCTTTTAAAAATGGACATCTTCTGTTTAAAGGGATCCCTGGTAGCAAGGCTAGGAAAGACCATTCCCGGAAATCCTGGACAACCTTTGCCATACTGCCACTTGTAGGGTGCGATCTCACGCACAATCAGCCGCGCCGTAGGCAGGAAAGCCGGGTGGATTTAAAGGGCACAATCAGACACGGACATCTGGGAAGCGCCCCGCACCCGTCGGCAACCAGTTTTGCTCTGCCATAGAAGCAGAGTAAAAAGAAAAGGAAAGTCTGGTAGCAAACATGTTGCTACAGGCCACGGACGGACATCCCCCTGTATGATCGCTCCAGGGCGCTCTCATGTCATCGGGATGGTCCGATCGGGCTATTCCAACTCCGTGCCATTGTTTCTCCCCCCCCCCTTCTCAGTATGCACATCATCGCACACTCCATAGGGAGCCCTCAGTGTTGAGATGTGATTCATTGATTCCCCATTTAAGCAAATTGGAAACAAATGGCAAAAAACCCAACCCCCCCGACTCATGGTTGTGTCTGATCACGCAATGGCGGGTTGCCCCTGCAGCTTCAAAGGACTGTGTGATCGCGCAGCTGCGGGTCAAATTCCTCCAGAGGGAATAGCCTCGCTCTCCCCCCCCCCCCCCCCGCTCTCGCATGTGTGACCGCACCGTAGGTTAGAAGGACCAGTGATCGGAGTTGGCATGTCTCAGCGTATGGTTTTCTACCCTTTGGTGGATCTCTACGGAGTGGAGTGTTATGGTGCCAGGCCTCTTCGTAATGCTGCCAGAGATGCTGCCTCTGACTTTCATAGGTGACCACTGACCAGTGCAAACTGAAAGTGGTATAGTTAGCTAGAAGCCTGTGAGCCAAGATGGGTGTGTTTGTGGGGGGTGCTTGATGCTAAACGACAATGTAGATATAAGTGGCATTTTGAAAATCTGGGGAAATGGGGAAAATCAGTGGGATATAAACTCTATGGACCAGACAGGGAAGGACGTGGGAGGGATGGTGTTGCTCTGTATGCCAAAGAGAGCATAGAGTCAAATAAGCTAGAAAGCATTAGTGGAATAAATTCCCACACAGAATCGCTATGGGTGGAGATACTGGCCCATAGGGGTCACTTAAAAGTGGTGGTGTAACTGTTTCACCCCTGATCAGAACCAGGAGGCTGACCTCAAGATGGAGAGGGAAATGAGGTGACCAAGAGGGAGAATGTGGTAATTCTTGGTGACTTTAACTGCTCTCACAATGATTTGGGCAAACATGTTGTCCGAATCCACAGCTGTCAATCAAATACACATTTGTAGCAAAGTAATATTTATTGAAGCCATGAGGAAACTGGAGCAAGTTCACTGTTTGGAATAACCAGAATGTCTGGGCACAGAATAATAAAGCAGGCGGTAGAACGCCTGACTTTAACAACACTCGAGCAGCCACTATGGCTGTTAGAGAATCACCGCGGTCGGGGTGAGCTCCCGACCCTAGTCCCAGCTCCCGCCCACCCAGCGGCTCGAAAGCAAGTAATTAAATGCGAGTAGAGAAATGGGTGCCGACTTTCCCCACCTGTGACCTTGCTGATTACGATAGTACAAAGCAACACTAGCGTATATCGAAAGGAATGCATGAGACATAGAAATGAGTGCTTCATATGACATACAGACATGCGCATGAGGATCTGACCATAACTTGCATATGGTGGGGGAAAGGGAAAGACATACAGAACACATTGGCAGCTTGCTGACACATGTGCCCAAGTCATGCCACAGAAAGAGGCTTTCTAGACACCATGCATTGAAAGTCCGTCACAGCGCCACCTAGAGGTGTAGCAACTCTGGACTTGGTTCCGGGCCGGGCTGGAGACCCGGTTCAAGATGTAAATATTGTTGCACTAACTGAGAACAGTGACCATCATGATATCAAGTTCAGCATTCACGTCAAGAGAAAGAACAAAACAATCACTTCAGATTTCATTCCTGCTTGTATCTGACAAGGAGAGCTTTGATTGTTGAAAGCTTATACCCCCCCCAAAATCGTGTTGATCTCAAAGGTGCTTCTGGACTTGAATTTAGCTCATCTACTGCAGACCACCACGGCTACTCTTTGAAACTACCCCTAATCAGGAAGGGTACCACCAAGTCTAAAAAGATGTTGGCATGGCTAATGACTCAAGTCAAGGAAGTTATAAAAGGCACAAAAGCATCCTTTAAAAAGTGGAAGGCTTCCTTGAATGAGCTGGAACAGGATTGAGCACCGTTTCTGGCAAAATAAATGTAAGATGAGGAAAAAGAGAATATGAGGAGTGAATATCAAAAACTGTTAAAACAATAAATGTCTCTTCAAATATATCAAGAGCCAGAAATGGGCCAGGGAGATAGCTGGAACTTTGGATGGCAAACAAAAAAACAGGATTGCTTAAGGAAGATTGGGGGAGATGGCAGAGAAACTGAAATAATTCTTTGCATCTGTTTATACTGCGGAAAATGTCCACGCCGGAGGTGCTGTTTTTAGGAAGGGTATCTGAACAACCAAGTCAAATTGTTGAGAGATGAAGCTCTTAGGACTACTAGGCAAACTGAACACTAATAATTCTGCAGGTGCAGCTGGCATATGCCCAAGGGTTCTGAAAGACCTCAAATGTGAAATTGATCTATTAAGTATATGTAACTTCATTAAACTTGGCCTCTGTGACAAGAAAATGGCATATGTCACCCCAGTTTTTAAAAGGGGGTCCAGAGGGGATCCAAGAAATTACAGGCCTGTTAGCTGAACATCTGTTCCAGGTAAATTGGTAGAAACTGTTATCAAAGAGAGAGTTATTAAGCCCATCAAGGAACAAAGTCTGCTGAGGGAAAATGAGGGCCCCTCATCAACCTCTTGGAGTTCTCTGAGCAGGGTAACAAGCATGTGGGCAAGAGTGAACTGGTGGACATCATATACCTACTTTGACAAAGTACCACACAAAAAACTTCCGGGTAAGTTTAGCAGTCCTCTCTTGGATTAAAAGTTGGTTAAATGGCAGGTCCTTAAAGAGATGGGAGTACCAGACCACCTCACATGTCTCTTGAGAAACCTGTATAAGGGTCAAGAAGCAACAGTTAGAACCGGATATGGAACAACTGATTGGTTTCCCATAGGAAAAGGAGTACGACAAGGAGCCATACGTGACTACTGGGAAAACCATTGCTTTGACCATGCGGACTTTTGTTGGCAGGGTGATGTCTCTACTTTTTATCATGCTGTTTAGGTTCGCCATCACTTTCCTCCCAAGGAGCAGGCGTCTTTTAATTTCATGGCTGCAGTCACAGTCTGCGGTGATCTGGGATCCCAGGAACGTGAAGTCTGTCACTACTTCCACGACTTCCCCTTCTATTTGCCAAGGAGTGATGGGGCCGGATGCCATGATCTTAGTTTTTTTGATGTTGAGCTTCAAGCCCACTTTTGCGCTCTCCTCTTTTACCCTGAGCAAGAGGCTCTTGAGGTCCTCTTCACTTTCTGCCATCAGAGTGGTATCGTCTGCATATCTGAGGTTGTTGATCTTTTCCCCAGCAATCTTAATTCCCACTTGTGATTCATCCAGGCCAGCATTTCGCATGATGTACTCTGCATATATATTCAATAAG